AGTTAGCCCCCACTGAGGGCTCCAGGAGCCAGCACTGTAGTTAGCCCTCACTAAGAGCTCCAGGAGCCAGCACTATGCTGTGTGCTTTACACGCACTGATAGTCATGACAACACACCAGTTACAGTACTCTTCTTAGACCTTCTGAGATGCAGTAATTTTCCAAGGTCACATAACTAGTAAGTTGTAGGCTCAAGATGCCAACCTCTGCTTCATGGTCTTTTGTGCCTTAAACACTTTTCTACAAGTCCTCAGAGGAGAAGAAGTAGGTCCTGTCTTAGAGGTGTGCCCAGCTCTCGGGATTGTGGCCTATGCTGATGGACAGTCACTGACACCCTGTAGTCAGTTCATCTAGACAAGTTATAATTGTGAGGGCTCCACTTCCTTCACCTAAAATGTCCTTCATGCACACATATGCACTGGAGGTCCAGCCACCCAACTGTTTAATCCCAGCTTTCTAAAATGGAATTTTAAACATATTCGCAGTCAACTCTCTCATGTCCCTTTTGGCATTTCTTCAAACGAGGACCAGTGGCACCTATAGGATGGCACTGGACAACTAAAACTGCCCTTCAATGCAAATGAGAAAAAATACAGGAGACAAACCCTCAAAGGGTTCAGGCGAGGGGAGGGATGCCCAGTGAGGAAAAGGCTTGAGGCAGAGCATAGGGCCAGGAGCAAGCAGACTCTCAGGCTTACCTCTTGGGATCCTCCTTTGTCCCTGAGAGATGCTGGCTGCCATTGTTCTCCAACTGGGACAGTTTGGATTCTGCAAAGGAAAGAGGGAAAAAGGCCTGTAAGCAACACTCCAGGGTCAACTAAGGCACAGTGGTCACCCAGGAAAGGGCCTCAGGAACACAGCCCCAAGTCTGAACATGCTCCCCTGAAAGACTGTGCCCCAAGAGAGACACATCCCCACTGAGGAGCAACCCCACGGGCAGACGAGGAACACATCTTTGATTCTACCTGATGCCCCCAAGCCTCTTCTCATCCCTGTACCCCAGGGCACTTATGGTGCTGGGCAGGTTGCAGGCAGAACCACCTGACTGCAGAGTTCCAAACCTGTCCCTACTTCCCCAACAATTATTTGGAATCTGAGTCATCTCCCAAACATGGCCCAGGAGGGGCTGAGGGAGCCACCGCTGTGTTTCACGAGGACAGTCTCCCAGGTGCTCAGGAGGGGCTGAGGGAGCCACCGCTGTGCTTCACCAGGACGGTCTCCCAAACATGGCCCAGGAGGGGCTGAGGGAGTCACCACTGTACTTCACGAGGATAGTCTCCCAGGAGCCCAGGAGGGGCTGAGGGAGTCACCAGTGTACTTCACGAGGACAGTCTCCCAAACATGGCCCAGGAGGGGCTGAGGGAGCCACCGCTGTGCTTCATAAGAACAGTCCCTCAGGTGCCCAGGAGGGGCTGAGGGAGCCACCGCTGTGCTTCACAAGGACAGTCTCCCAGGTGCCCAGGAGGGGCTGAGGGAGCCACCGCTGTGCTTCACAAGGACAGTCTCCCAGGAGCCCAGGAGCCCAGGAGGGGCTGAGGGAGCCACCGCTGTGCTTCACCAGGACGGTCTCCCAGGAGCCCAGGAGGGGCCAAGGGAGCCACCACTGTGCTTCACCAGGACGGTCTCCCAGGTCTAGATTTTGGCATATGAGAGCAAGCAGGTAGGAAACTCCTTTAATCTTGTTTCTCCTAGCACCGCACTCTTCAGCAGCGGTTCTCAACCTGTGGGTTGCAACCCGTTTGTAACAATGAAAATACATCACAGCATTAGAAAGGTTGAGAACCACTGTTCTATAGATAGCTAATCGCCAAAGTGCCAAATACCCATAGTACACCTAACTGTATTTTAACCTATCACCTTTAGTACTACTGAACTTCTTAAGCTGTCACAGTTAAGTCCACCTCTTTATCACCATGAATTGGGGGGGTTCAGAGCAAATCCAACTTCCTTTCTCCACCACTAGGTGATATCCCCCCCAAAAAACTTTTCCCCTTCCAAACTGTCAGTCAAAGCTCAACACCTGTCTGTGGCCTTCTCCGGCTTTAACACCCATCACAGAGTTCTAAAGCAGTAGCAGCTGGCCCCACACACAGTGTGAGAGAAGAACCAGACTTTGTCGGGGTATATGAGGATGTGCATTCCACTTTGGTCAGCTGATGACTTTCAAACCACCTCACACCAGGAGGCCACACCACCTGCTCCTTAGAGACACCCAGGGTTCTCAACTGAACTAAACAAAGCAGACTGCTACAGGGCTTCACTTCAACAGTAATGCTTTCCATGCTTATTTTTTACTGACAATCGCTTTTTCAAGTTATATTTTTCATATAATTTTACTTTTTTATAACTATAAAAATAACACACCTGTAGCTCCCCATTAATCCTCATTCCCACATTCTGGGGGAGAGCCTGCCCGCTTCTCTGCTCCCACTATACACGTTATTTAATAGACATTTCTTTGATTGTTTTAAGTTGAGAAGTTTGTCCTATGTTTGTGACTATTTCTCCACATTTTCTATTAAGCTCTTTTAAAGATCTTTCAGAACTCTTTATATACTAAGATTACTAATTTTTTTTTTTTTTTTTTGAGACAGAGTCTCAAGCTGTCGCCCTGAATGCCGTGGCACGACAGCTCACAGCAACCTCCAACTCTTGGACTTAAGCAATTCCCTTGCCTCTGCCTCCCAAGTAGCTGGGACTACAGGCGCCCACCACAATGCCTGGCTATGTTTTTGTTGTTGCATTTGTCATTGTTGTTTTAGCTGACCTGGGTCAGGTTTGAACCTGCCACCCTTGGTATATGTGGCCAGAACCCTATCACTGAGCTACAGGCACTGCCATGATTACTAATGTTTTGTCCAGTTATATCATGCCTAATTTCTCATCTATGCCTTGGGTTTTTTCTAAATTGTCTCTAATTTCTGATAGACACCCTTCCTACTTAATTTGAAATTTCTTCACTGGATGTGGTACTTAGAAAATCTATTTTATTGTATTTTATGGCTTCAATTTGTACATTTAAATCTTTTATTTTCTCTGACATTTATTTTGGGGATGGTGTGAGATAAGGACTTAATTTTATCTTCTCTTTCTAACCTTGTTCCATCACTAAATTAAAAGCAAAAACTGGTTTTAAAAGTAAAAAAAATCTTAAAATTAGTCAACTTCTAGCCAGTCATTCATGCTGATGCTTCAGCATTCAGGAACTCAGAACTCACACCCATCATTTGAACAGCAAAGTATTTTGTTATAACTAAAATCAAATGATAAAAGGATCACCATTCTTCCTTTTTAAACTGCTGAAGCTCCCCAAAACTGAAGCAAGTGCTTCTTTTATCTTCCAAGGCTGAAAATAATGAGTAACATACACTGGCATTTTAGCTTTTATCACCACTTTCTCCCTCTCAACAGTGAGTGCAGTTTTAGGTGCTACTAAATGGTCCAGTTAGACCCTCCCAAGCCCTCCTCATCTTTCACCTAGAGAGAATGTGTGAGTGCCTCAGTCCTAAAAATTCGCCTGAGACATCTTTAGATGTAAGAGGGCATCTTACGGGATCTTCAGAAACCTCACTCAGCCCCTTTGCTGGTGGAAAGATCTGAGGGTTGGTCCAAATCCAGATGCTCTTCTGCTCTAATGCATGTGGGAAATCTTGAGCTGACAACACAGGGGCCAGAGGGTAAGGACACGACATGGGGCCTCAGCCTTGAAGATGAAGGCCAAGCTCTCTGGCCACTCTAGGGAAGTCTCCCCTCCCACTATCCTTCCTATTACTTCAGGCCAGCCTGTCCCACCTAGGGGCCTCTGCTGCAACGTCCACCTGTCTGCTCTGCCGGCCTGCAATGTCTGCCCGTCACCATTTTCCCCAAAATCCACTTGGCCCCTCACTAAAACCGCAAGTCACTCCCTGCTCTCTGTCACCCTATACCGTGGGCAGGATTCTACTGTTGCATCAGGACACAACACGGCAACCCATCAGGGTGCACATCTGCCTCCTTAACTGGCGCTGAGTGCACGGCGACAGGCTCTCTGTCCACACATCACTGTGTCCCAACACAAGGCACAGATCTGGCCATGGTTAACCACCAGGAAACTAAGCAGGCAGGTTACAGCTACCACCTTCTAAACACTTATGACCTAACAAGGAACACAGTAGAACAGACGGCACTAGCAAGCCTGAGGTGGACGATCCAGTGAACGGTCCCCCGTGCACAGAACTGTCCTCTGCAGTGGCAGGGCTCCGCTAGCCCCAATTTTCTTTAAAACTCAAGCTATACATGATAGACAGACCCAAGTTCTCAAAAACAAGCATTTACTGAGTAAAACAGCAATTGCTAACATTTTTGTACCACACAGATACCTTTCTTGAAACTTTGTTTCTTTGTGTTTGTTACAAATAGAAACTTGGAGAAAAGCTCAAATTTCTTCATTTGTGATGTGTACAGCAGGAATAGATCAGCACTAAACCTGGCTTGGGTGCCAGCTCTATCATGGACCAGGGAAGAGGAATTTCTACGACCCCGCCTAGAAGCCCAGAGGTGAACCATTCCCCAAGCAGGACAGAACCCCTCAACTTGAGGATTAGGCCAGAGTTGCCAAGATAGGTGTCTACGTTGTTGATGAAATTCCCCCTTATTTGAACCAATTTATGTAAATCCCTGTGGTTCTCTGACTTGAGAGCTGGGTTAGAGTAATGGTTATGCTTCTTCAAAGGATGCTTAAAGCAACTCATACCTGAGTTGTCAAACCTACTCCTTCTGCCTCATTTAAGACACATGGAGAAAGAGAAACAGAGTGAAACGGCCTGGCCAGTAACATGGCTCTGAGCGCAGTGCGCTGCCCTCATCACAGCAGACCTCATGCATCCCACCTGGGAAGCTCATCCCCCCTGCAACGCACTCACCAAAAGTGAACGTGAACCACACCAGCAGTCAGGGGGGTCAGACAGCCATGTTATCTGTCCCCACCTTCTGCCCCCACTCTCCAGAGGATTATTGCAACTCCTCATACCTTTCTGAGGGGCTTTCGAGTTGCCTTCTTGAGGGCCAAATGAGGAAGGGAGAGAAGCCGCCGGTGGAGGGGAGGGCCGCTGCACTTCAGAAGGCTGGCTCGGGTCCTTCATGCGGTTAACCACATTTTCAGACAGCTATGGAAGAGTGAGGAAGGGGAAAAGAGGAACAAGAAAAAGTTACATCACCAAAACCGCTGAAAATTAAGACTTCCTTTTATTCATGCCCCAGATTTACTGAATATACTGCTTCCCCCAGATCAACTCTGAAAATAAAATTCTACTCAAAAACCTCTCCTGGTGGCCTAGGGCCTGCCCATCTGGAATTCCGAGCCCAGGGCTGCACTTCCCACCACGACCCTGCACACCCTGGACTCCATGGAACCTGACTTTTCACTTTCCTCACCTCCTCTGAATGCACAGATGCTGTTCCCTCTGAGCCTCCTGTGCCCTTGCTCCCAACCGCCCCATCGCCCCCGCCCCACTCTCCAGGGAACCTTTCCTGATAGCACTTTTTTATCCTTTGCAAATACCATGATTTTTACAAACTGAACGTCGGTGGCAACCTGGTGTTGAGTGAACCCAACACTGCCAGTTCTACACAGTGCATGTGCACTTGGTGTCTGTGTCATGTCACTATATAATCCCCACAGCGGGCTCGGCGCCTATAGCTCAACCGGCTAAGGCGCCAGCCACGTACACCTAAGGTGGTGGGTTCGAATCCCCAGCCCGGACCCGCCAAACAAC